GCTGGGCCAAGCGTTCTAGCACTTTGGCCGACATGGAAGCTTTATTCTGCCCGAGCGCCTCGTCTTAGGTCTTCACCTCGGTTTCGTGCGTTTTTAAGCGGCTACCTAAGTGCTTGGTCATCGAGGTCCCTCTTCCCTCCCCAGTTGTCCGGCCGCGTGAGACACCTGTCTGTCTGAGCTGGGGCCGCTGGACTGCCCTGACACTAGACCGGGCTCTTCCCAGTCCATATGGCCCCGCAAGATGGGACTGCTGCAGGTCATTGCCCCTCACGGTTTACCCAGAATTCTTTCCTTAAATTTTTTTTTCAAGTTGAAAGCCCCTTCTGTGTCCCCTCTTAGACCCAATAGTTACTACAGTTCCCAAGCAGCTTGCAGTGCTGTGCCTGGGAGATGCTAAATAAATACTTGGTGGCCAGCTCTTTCCTCCACCCACCGCGGTCCTCCTCTCTGCTCAAAGTCCTACCTTTCCGGAAGAGCCCCTTCCCAGCAGCCATTGCCCCTCCAAGCTGGCATACCACTTTCTGCTCAAGTCCCCGACCCATCTAGGACCAGTGTCTGGTTTGGTCTGGCATCTACCCATCCAACTGTTTCCGTTGCAGCGCCCAGCCAGCCAGCCACCCTCCCAGATCAACTTTTAGCTCAAAAGTTGTACATCAGTATCCCGAATTTGGGGAGGATTTGAGGAAGTTGGCTTTTTTTTTCTATCCGTTGGCCGGGTGGGCCCAGGTTCTTGAGTGTCCCGCATTGGGGGGGGGGGAATTCTAGTAAAATGTTATGGTGTGTTTGTTGACTGGCTTTGTCAGCTAGCGGTTGTAAATTAGTGGTTTGTAGGGATAATGAAGAAGAGACCCCAAGCTAACCCTAGCCTTGTACATGGTTTTTGGCTTTTGGAATAGGAAACCCAGACCAATGGTGAGATGGTTCAGTGGGTCAAGGCACTTGCATTGAAAGCCTGTTGGCCATGAACTCACTTCAGGTGGGAGTCGAAACCAGACTCCACAGAGTTGTCCTCTGGCCCTCCGCATCACGCAATTGTAATAAAAAGAGGGGACAGGGAAGCAAAGGTGGCACAAAAGTCTGAGAAAGGGCTCTGGTGGATAGAGCACTTGAGCCAGCGTGAAGACCAAGGTTGGGTCTCCATAGCCACACACATGCTAGGTGACCATGGTGGCTGGCCTGTCATCCCAGCCGTCCCAGGAAGACAGAATCCCCCTTGCAAGAGGGCTAGCTAGACTCGCCAAAACAGCATATTCTGCCTTGGCGAGAGCCCCTGCCTCAATTAACACGGGGGAGAGCAAGTGAAGATGCCAGGCATCAGCCTTGGGCTTCTTCGCTGGTGCGTGTGTGCATCTACATGTGAATTTGAACACATAAATGGACATCATGCACATGTGCAAAACGTGAAAGTCTTAAGAAAAATCTTGGCTTGGAAGCCTGTGCCAATCATGGGAACATTTGGAAAGCAGGAGGGCAGCTCTAGGTGTGAGGCCAGTTTAGGGTACAGTTTGGGACCTTGTCTTAGCAAGCCTCATCAGCCCCAAGTCTAAGAAGGAATTAAGACGGCTTCAGGCTCAACATAGGAAGCCGAAGCCTGAACTTGCAGCATGGCTCCCGCAACCTATCACATCTCTGTCAGTCCGGGGTGGTGGTGAGAGTGTCAGGGTGCCCCAATCAGGGAAGCTGTAATGTAACTTCATTTTCTATGTACTGGAGTCCCCTGGCTAGGCGAGCTGGCAGAAGGGATCAAATGAGGTAAAGCGTGAAAATGCTTTGAAAACTGTGAAGTCAATTCACAATTGCCAAGTGCTGGGCTCCACTGTGGTGGAGTAGAGTAGGGTAACTGCTGCCCTGGGGCTGCTGGGGGCCTGCAGCCCTTCCTCCTCCCACCACACATGGAGGGAGAATGCATACACACGATGTCTCCACCCAACCGTCCTGGGAAAGTTGCCTTCTACAGGGTGATTCTAACTGGGTGATTGCTCAAGTGTGGGGCATTTGGGTTTTGACTCTTGTTAGCTGTGATACAGGATGGTGCCGAGTTACGATGCTTTAGATGGGAACACAGTTAGGGGCAATAGAGGACGGAAGGATTGGCCTGGTGTGTTCAGCTTGTGTTTGTAGTTCTGGGCACAAGAGGAGGGGCCCAGGTCCCGTAGGAAGCTGCCAGCTCCAGCCTGTGCTTCCAGCAGGGCTCATGCTCACTCTTAATATTGAGAGCGCACAGATGCTGGGGGAGTTGAGGTAGGCTGTGGGGAGGGGGGCCTTGCGAAACAGGGGTGACCTGGGAGGAAAAGACCCTTCACCTAGGCAATCAGTAGAAGGTGAGGTGGGAAAGAAGAGGTCCCCAGCTCTGCTGCCCTCCTGTTTTCTTTCTTAGAAAGGGGCTCAGTTGCTTAGCATGGAGAAGTGGGCAAACAGATTGTTTTGTTTTGTTCTCATTTTTTTTTAAGATTTATTTATTTATTATGTATACAATGGTCTGCCTGCATGTATCCCTGCAGACAGAAGTTGGCAGCAGATCCTATTGCCGGTGGTTGTGAGCCACATATGGTTGCTGGGAATTGAACTCAGGACCTCTGGAAGAGCAGTCAATGCTCTTAACCACTGAGCCATATCTCCAGCCCCCTGTTTTGTTTTCATTTTTAAAGTGTGTGTGTGTGTGTGTGTGTGTGTCTGTTTCATGGGGTGGGGGATCAGGGCACAACTTGAAGAAGTTGGTTTTCTCTTTCCACCATATGGGTCCTGAGGATCAAACTCAGGTCATCAGGCTTGGCCACAAAGCTCCTTTATCAGCTGAACCATTTCTCCAGCCTGATGCTGTTGTTTTTCAGCCTATTCTTTTCCTCTGGACTTTCTCACTGGACAGTGCAGTGAGGGAAGCCTTTACTTTCTAATGAGGGGCAAGGGAGCCCACAGACCTCCCTTTTTTTAAATGTTCCACTGCCTCCCCCTGGATATATGCTGAATGACAGGCCTGCACTGTCTGCCTGATTTATGCTTTGCTGGGGATTGAACCCAAGAGGCCTTGTGCATGCTAGACAAGCATTCTCCCAAATGAGCCATGTTCCCTAGCCGGCCATATGATTCTCTGTGCTGGGTTGTCCTCTGAGTTGTGCAGTGGCCCACAGCATCCCTGATTTCCACCGCTAGCAGCCAGTAGCACCCTTCTGCCCAGCTGACAGCCTGGTGTCTGCAGTCATTGAGGGAGTTGAGTCTCCCTCAGTCAAGAGCACATGGCTTCAGGCAACACACAGTGGACTGCATGCTGCTCCCTGGGTCCCTTCAGTGTGAGGAGGAAGCCCAGTGCTGCTGAGTTCTGGGCACTTCTCTCTGGCTGGTTTGCAGGCCTGAGAACTTGTATGCTTGCCTTGTGCCTTCCCCTGCCTTTGCAGTGGCCCTGCTCCATCCACATTGCCGCTGCTTATTCTTTTTCTATTTTCATTTTCTCTTTTTAAATTAAGCGTGTTCTTGTGTCCACCTCCCACCCCACCCTCTAAGCTCTGTGTGTGTGTGTGTGTGTGTGTGTGTACATCCATGTACATAGCATTCATGGAGGTCTGAGGATAACTTGGATGACACGCTTCTCTTCTTCCACCACGTAGATCCTAAGGTATCTGATTCGAGTCTTCAGGATTGGCTGCAAGCCCCTCTACCAGGCTGAGCTGTATTGCCAGCCCTCCTTCCTCAGACTTTCCAGCCAGGGAGGCTCCATGAAGGGTGGGAGGATGTACGGTGAAGGTAGGGCACCCGGTTACTCTCCTGCTGGACAGCGCTTCCTCACTACCAAGACCAGTGCCTGCTCCACCAGGATTGACTGAGTAGGGAGTAGGCTCCAGATTGTTTGAAGGAGTGTGGGGTTCTTTGTTTGGAATGGGGAAAGTATCTAGCCTTCACAGTGGCTTTTCCCCTAAAGCCTTTTATGAGCCCATGTGCATGAGTATGTGAAGACTGCAGGTTGTATCTTTTCCTTTTGCTCTCTATTTTATTGCTTTTTCAGTTTTTGTGTATATGCATGTATGAGTGTGTACACACACGGAGGTCAGAAAAAACCTCAGATGTTGGTCCTTCCACCTTGTTGGAGATAGGGTCTCTTGCTGGAGGCATCATTCAGCAGGCTGACTGGTCCATGAGCTCCAAGGGGTCCTCCTGTCTCCACCTCCCATCTCTCTGTACGAACACTATGCATCATCTATCTATATATGGGTTCTGGGGATTAGAACTCAGGTCCTCATGCATGTGCAGCAAGCACTTTACCCACTGAACCATCTCTCCAGCCATCTGCTTAAACCAGTTCACCAACTTTGCTAGTTTGGATGGCCAGCAAGTCTCGGGGATCTTCCTTTTTCTACCTCCCTAGTACTGGAGTTATAGCTACCTCCCCAGTGCTGGGCTTATATCTATCTCCCTAGTGCTAGGGTTATATCTGCCCCCCTAGTGCTGGGGTTATATCTGCCCCCCAGTGTTTGGGTTATATCTACCCCCTAGTGTGCTAAGATTATAGGCAGAAATGCTTGGCTCTTACTTGAGTATTGGGACTTGATCTCAGGTCCTTTGTTTGTGCAGCCAGCACTTTTCTGACTGAGCCCTCTACCCTGCCCTACAAAACGTTTTTTAAAAATAAATTCTGACGGTGGGAGTACAGGGCTTGTGCATGCTAAGCATGTCCTATGCCACCAGCTTCACTAGAGCTTTCTTAAAATGATTGTTGATGTCGGGGGCTGGAGAGATGGCTCAACAGTTAAGTGCACACACTACCTTTGTAGAGGCCCTGAGTGTGATTCCCAACACTCATGTTAGATGACTCACAGGTACCTATAACTCTAGCTCCAGGGGATCTGACGCCTTCTAGAACCTGGGCACCTACATTCAAGGGTACATAGCGTCATTCCTCCCACCTTACACATACACACATAATTAAGGAATAAAAATAAAATGATGGTGTAAGCCAGGCATGGTCGTGCATGTGCACAATCTAGC